GCTGCAGGGATATACATACTTACTCATGGAGCTGAGTCCTTCTGGAAGAGCCGCAAATTCTGCAGCTACTCAAGAATTCCCCAGCATTTTATGGAACCCGAAAGTTCATTATCGCGTTCAGAAGAGCCCTGAACCAGTCCCTATCCTGATACATATATTATACAAATATTAAGTATTCCTGAACAGTTGTGACGTGGAGTATTACGCTCAATATTTTGAAAGCTTTAACTTCATCCATCGTTCAGTAAAATGTTTCAGAAAATGGATCTACATCTGTTCCAAGGCAGAAGGGTACATACTGAGCTGGGTTCGCTAGAAACAGCTAATTTCAGTCAAGCTGTGTTCTATTGGGTCGTGTTCTTGCTTTGCTTATTATTTAGTCCTGAAAATGGAAGCGAAATATTGCTCCGGATCATTGGTTGAATAAATGACTTTACATCCCAGAAGATAGAACTCTTCAAGTAGTGTTATCTTTGCACTATTAGACGATGGACAAAGTCCGTAAGTGGACTGACACCAAATACGGGTATACAAACGTTGATCAGTATTCTCGCAGTCATCTTGAACACCAAGGCATATACATTTAAATAATTCACGTCGACATTTTCAAGAATCTTCCGTATTTTTGTGCTTAAATATTACATATCAGTGAGTACACATACTGGCATCTATCGTACAAAATCTAATTCTAGTACACTTGAAACTTCTGAATAACAAATCAAGGATACGGTGAAATTGTCCCTGTGCTTAACAAATTAAGCACTACACCGTGACGAATTATGAGGCAGTATTCTTGACCAGATTACTAGCTTGGGAGGGTTGGTCATCTTCACTCCCCGGAGGGGGTTGAATGGACCCCAGAACCGGTTTGGACGACGTGGAGAGGAAACAAATCTTGCCCCTACAAAAACTCGAACTCCGAACCCTTGACCTTCCCGCCCGTAGCCAGTCGCTATACCGACGACGCTAAGGGCAGCGCCAAAGCCCAAGCGGTTAGTCGCTGGCTTCCCACCGCGGCGGTCCGGGTTAGTTCCCGGGTCTGGTCAAGTGGGATTTGTGGTGGACAAAGTGGCGCTGGGGCAGGTTTTCTCCTAGTACTTCGGTTTCACCTGCCAATCTTCATTCCACCAATTGCTCCACAATCATCTTCACCTATCATCTGGGGCTGGTACAATAGGCCAGAAGTGGTCGCAGTACAAGGGACTTAGCCCCACCCCAATAGCATTAAAGAAAAAATACCCGACTGCGTTATCCGGGCACTACTGCATATTGGCGACTATCTGACTGTCAACCCGGCTGTTGGGGCCACCCCGTCTCTCCAATGCGCACCGGGGGATAAAGTTGACCACTCAACCCCATCTGGTACCGAGGTCAAGACTCTCTCGTATGTCTTCATGGGGGGGACAACTATACGTTATACTTTTTACCTGGCTGTATCATATTACGAAAATGGTGGTTTGAGTTACACTAAAGAATATAATAGCATCAGTAAACAATCTAGTCATGCTGATAACACCACAGATGTAACCAACTACAGCGTGCTTGCTACGTGTTGCAGTCGTGATATGCAGAATATCGCGGCCAGCTGACTATGCCGGCTCGGTTGTCGTATTCGCAGAGGCTGGAGAAAAGGACAGAAAATACAAAGAAAGGTCTGGAGAATAATAAAAATTATTACACTCTTTTCTACTAAAATAATTTCCCCTGGTTTGTTGAGGCACTATTCTTCAAGCAAGAAGGTCGCGGGTTCGAGTCCCGATGAGGTGAATTTTTTTTCAATTGACCTAATCCTTCCAGCCGCACTATGGACCTAGGGTCGGCTCAGCCTCTAACAGAAATGAGTACCAGGAATCTTCCTGGGGGGTAAAGGGCGGTCGGTCCGTAAACCTGACAAACTTACCGCCATCTCTGAGCCGACTTTCTAGAAAATGATGGATCCTCGACCTATCACAACCCTATGGGCTTCCACGGCCTGTTACAGGGATAGCTTTACCATTTTTTTACACTCTTTCAGTATAAGAATAATTTAATAAATAAATCCTCGTTTAAAAAATCACTATCACAATTTTAGAGTATGCAAGTATAGCCCGTCCGAAGTTTAGAAACCTGTATTGGTCTTACAGTGACAGTTTTGCAACGTAGCTGTATTATGCTCCACATACTTAAGAGCTGCTTCTTGAATTACAAGAAATGTTGCCTCAGAAAATATTCAGGTACCAAATATATAAATCAGTATTATGCTTCAATTTTCGCTCAGAAATGCATACTCAGATTAGATAATACGTGGTATACGTGGTAAAAGCAACTCATCACGCTGAAATTATACCGGAATGCAAATTCAATTTTCCCTCTAAAATGAGAGCTCATCAAGGAGCAGGTAAAGCAACAATAGGGGCATCGATACTCTTGCGAGTACCCGAAAGGCATCACTCACTCATGGAGGTGAGCCCTTCTTGAGAAGCCGCCAATTGTGCATCCACTCAAGAATTTCCCAGCATTTTATGGAACCCGAAGTTTCATTACCGTGTTCACAAGAGCCCTCCACTGAGCCCTATCCTGAGCCAGATCAATCCAATCCATACAATCCCACCCTATCTCTCTGAGATCCATTTTAATATTGTCCGCTCACCTACGTCTTGGTCTTCCCAGTGGTCTGTTTCCTTCTGGCTTTCCCACCAATATCCTATATGCATTACACTTTCCCCCAATTTGTGCTACATGCCCTGCCCATTTCATTGTCCTTGATTTCATCATTCTAATTATACTTGGAGAAGAGTATAAGTTATGAAGCTCCTCATTATGCAGTTTTCTCCAACCTCCTGTCACTTCACCTCTCTTCGATCCAAATATTCTCCTCAGCACCCTGTTCTCAGACACCCTCAGTCTATGTTCCACCTTCAGATTTCATACCCAAACAGAACCACGGGCAAATTATAGTTTTGTATATCCTAATTTTTATGTTTATAGACAGCAGACGAGAAGACAAAAGGTTGACTGAACGGTAGCAAGCATTCCGAAAAGGCATACAGAACAATTCTATTTAGAATATAAATAAGTGTGCCAGTAGATAAGGAATTCCATATCGATAATGGAGACGTTTACATCCATATCGAAGTGTTTTATCTGTTTGGGAATGTAATATAACTTAATCACAAACAATGGACATTGCGTATATTTACATTACGCAACTTCCAATGCCACTCACAAATCCCTTCTTCGTACTGTAGCATGTAGTTTCGTTGCTATACAAGGATCGCAAGAAGGAACATGAGTTACTTTATAACGGCCGGTAAACACGGCAACTATATCCAAGCTATCGCTAGGCAACTGCTTATAACAACGATAGAGGGACTTTTGAAGGCGGTGTTTTCTGTCGGGTCCGCCCCGAGGCTATGTAGCAAGGATCTCAGGCCGGCTGAGGGAGTTCAGTTGAGTGAAATGAAACGGTTGGTTAGTGAGAAAGATTTCAGTTGAGGGCTGGTAGTTGAGTCGAGAAGGCTGAGGAGAGAAGGCGCTATATTTGAGTTGGCAAGAGTTCTGCTCAGACGGCTGTGAAAAGAGAGCCTGAGCGCGGGAAGCTGGAGAATCTCAACTGTTAGAAGCCGTTGTCTGATAATGGCTAGTGAAGACTGAGAATATTTATCTTGTGCTGCTGATTTGTAAATTGTGGAGATTCAGCAATAGCGCTATAATTTCTTGTAGTTCTGAGTGGTGTGTACAAGTGTGTCAATAAATTCATTCACTAATTCAAACCCCGTCACATGGAAGTACTACTCAGCCGAAAAGCCTTTTTCTTTGTGCCAGATTGACAGGATCTCTCTCTTCTGCGGAAGTATTGCGGTCCCGCTTGCAGCCAGACCAAAGACGTACAATTTCTCACTACGTCCATGTTATCTATCTCGTACGCTTGGCGAGACCCCGTTTCGGAACGGATGCAGTCCTGCGCGTGTGATCGAATACAGGGCAGAGCATGCTGGAGAAGTTTATGGAACAAGTGATACATTTAATTTTCGGAACTTCGATAGGGTTTGCACTTCCGTACTGATTATGGAAAATTATGATACCGAGAAAACGGAGAAACTATGAATGTCCTGCCTTTGTTCAACCTAACCTATCGACTCGATGGAGGGAGTCCGATAGCTCAGTCGGTATAGTGACTTACGGGCTGGATGGCCGCGGGGTTGGAGTTCAAGCCCCGGTAGGGGAAAGAATTTACTTCTCTTCGCGGCGCCCAGACAGGGACAAGAGGTAGCGTAGTTGGTTGAGGCACTATGCTACAAGCCGGAAGGTCGAGGGTTGAGTCCCGTTGAGGTCATTATATTTTGTTCAATTTACCTAATCTTTCCAGCCTCACTATGGCGCTGGGATCGACTCAGCCTCTAACAGAAGTGAATACCAGGAATCTCCCGGGGGGGGGGGTGAAAGGCGGCCAACGGGTAAGGCTGACAACTTTACCGCCATTTGTGAGCCGATTGTCTAGAAAATGTAGGAGCCTCGACGTCTCACAACCCTATGGGCCTTCACAGTCCTTTACAGGGATACATTTACATCACTATACCGCGTCGTCCAGATGGCTTCTGGTGGCCTCCTAGCGTTCTATCCAATTGGTACCGGTGGCTCTTTCTCCGGGGGTGCCGAGGTAAAGAATACGTGAATCTATATATCCGCTCCCCGTACGTCTTCATTGAGTAGTACGTAATTAATTAACTTTAACTTACTTTATCGACTCGTTGAAACAAACCATTGATCATTGAATTATATCCTCGTTCCTGGAGGGGATCACGAGGCATTAGCCTGTGATTTTACCTGGAAACGTGAGGCATCATGAAAAAAGGGTGAATTGAAAACTACCTCGGTAGCGCAACGAAAAATCTGTCTGTCGCTTTAGGAGAAATCCGAAGCAGAAGGAAAGAAAGAGAGAGAGAGAGAACGTGGCTGTGCTAGGTTCAGTGGCAGGCAGCGGCAGGCCGACACATCAGTATTGGTCGAAGAGCCGGTGGTGGAGGTCGTTGGTTATGTGCGTTGTCGATGCGCGACGTTCCATCACGTGCCGTGAAAATGATGACGAATTTTCGTGTTCGTTAAGTATTAACGTGCCTATTCTAAGTTAAATGCGATTGTTCTGAGAGATATTAAATATATTTTTGTGTTGACTTGTTTTAATTTCTAGCTGTTGTGTTCTCAGAACTTAACGCCGCTTGTCACGCATTCGTAGTTTTAGGTAAAGAAGAATGCAATTTACATTATTTCTTTTTTATATGCATTCACTGAATTCGCTGAATTTGTCATTTTAAATTAGGATCTAAAAAATATATATTTGTTTTCTGCTGGAAATTGCCTCAGCACAAATCAAAGTTTTCATACGTGAATAATTTTTTCAAAGTTTATGGTATTTGTTTGTGAACATCTGATCAAAGTTGTGTTGCTAGGCAGGGTGGTGGGGTTACCATGAGCAAGAGAGGAAGAAGATGACACGGAAATGAATAAATTATAGCTGTCAATACTGCCAACAGGAGCTGTGAGTGCCTTGCCTATCGCGGTACAACTGCCGTCCAATTGTTAATGTTAAAGCAACAAAAGCACCAGACACTACTGCCCTTCACAGCTACGGTTCCAGCACCTGCAGAGATACGCGAAGAAGGCGTAATCAAGCTCTCATCACACGATAATGCTGCCGTCAGTGAAGCACATTTTGTAGCTTATTTCAAACTATTTTCGAATTAATTCTATTAACACTATTGCATCGATATTATCGTTGCTGTTTTCAACAGAAACACAAACCTTTGGTTTAACAATGAAGGAGCACCGCATGAGAGCGCTTCGAGTTACCACAACAAATAGTATTACCAGGTAAGCGACTTCGTTGTCTCCTCTCATTTAAAGTGATATTCTGATATTTATAATAATTTATAGTCACACAGAGTGGTGATATGAGCACCATGTCATAGAGTGTGAAGGTAAATGTCTACGCAAATTTAACTTTGGTACTTACTGGAAATAAGTGGTTAGGTTCACGTTTCGACAACCGTTTGATGTGAGACCGGATTGACCCCCACAGATGGTTTGAATATGTCAAAAAGAAAAATTTTGCGTGTGCCGGGAATCGAATCCGATAGACCTAATAATACCGTAAGAAATTCAAATCTCACATTTCTTTTCCTCTGGGGTCCTCCTAGCCTTCTGTCTAAGGGAAACGAGGGCTATTCCCCCCGAGGTAAATGGGCTGGCAAATGAAGGTGACCACTTAACTAAATCTAGTGCCGGAGTTAAGAACGTTTGAAGCTAATTTCCACCTCCATACGTATTCATAGTTAAGCACAGGGACAGCACCGAGTGGTAGGATGAATAGTGACTAATGTATGAGAAATATTTCAAGGAAGTAATGTGACTTCGTTTGAGGTAGCATTCCGCCATTTGCTTGGAGTGACAGGAATTGCGCAAAATATCTCAGTCAGGATATCCGGTGTCTGGACCGGGATTTGAATCTGAGACCTCATGAATACAAAGCAGGATTCCTGATCACTCGAAACTCGACCTTCAATAGCAAGGACTCAAGCCTGGTATACTCGCATGGTGTATTGCAGACAGTCGCCTCTATTGGCAGGAAGAATTTGGGCTCACCACACGTGTCTAAAGCTGTAATGGTCGTAACTGTAAAAAAGTAGAACGTAGTGTTGCTGTACAGGGAGCCGACAGAACGACTTTTCTAGTTGGCTAAATTCTTCATAGTGTGATCTTCTGAGTTATGACACGTTATCGTCTGATAGGTGGTTACAAAATTCGGCTAATGCTTGCTACCATTTAGTCCAGAACCTTTTGTCTTCTCGTCTGCCGTCTAAAAACATAAAAATTAGAATATGCAGAACTATAATTTTGCCTATGGTTCTGTATGGGTGTAAAATTTGGTATCTGACATTAAGGGAGTAACATAGATTGACGGTAGGAGCCTGGATCGCGTAGTCTGTATAGCGACTTGGATGAACGAGGGGTCGGAGTTCGGGTCTCGGTAGGGTCAAGAATGTTCTCTTTCACACGTGCCTTTCTAGACACTTGGAAAAATGGTTCCTTGGACCATAATATAGTCAATGTATGGACCTCGAATATCACGATCGGTACACAAACGAATGATTTTGTGTAACAGCGCAGAATATTAATAACGCTTTCTGCTAAAATGCTTTCCGACTGAACGATTATTTTAAGTTCTCGGATTTTGCGCAGACTTGTCTGAAATGACATGCTGTTCAAAATAACACTACATAAAATAGTTGTAAGGGCTAGATCTGACAAAGTTAATAGCCTTGATAATCATTTTTCAAAGGGGACATTTTACCGGAATCTTCTCCAAAACACGGAGAAACTGAAGTGCGGTCAATTTAACGCATACAGAATCTGTGCTTGGGCAAGAAGTTTTTCAAAGAAATAANGAGTTACGTGAATGGAAAAGCAGCGGCTCCGGTCTAGAAAATCGAGATTATCGGTCGTGGGGATCCATTTCGCTGACCACGCGACACCTCATATCCGCTAAAGTTGTAACTAACTTCGCCGGCAAACGGCGGTCGCTAGGTCGGTATATTTCGCTTGCGGACTAAAACCACGGAGTTTGTTTTGTATAATAATAATAATAATAATAATAATAATAATAATGGAGTATTTGATCTGTAGGATGAAATCATGCGATAGAGAAGTAGGCTTATGAGCTCTGCTGGAAATTATTTGTTACTCTTTATCGTCAGAAAGTCACGCAGTGATAACTTTACGAAATAGTTGCCAGGAAACGAAGCAACATTGGACAGACACACAAACCTGTGTATGGACACCTCGTAACCAGCCCAGAGACATGGGAACGGAAGGAGAAAACTGGAGAGACAAAAGCATTGCGTCTGTGTCCGCGCTATGTGCCACTGGAAGTTGTAAGGTAAATTCATGTAAAAATGCGTATAAACAAACACCTCTCTTAGATTGTAATGTAAGGGAGCGGAGTAGGCCGCGCCACTGGCTTCCCACCGCGGCGGCCCCGGTTCGATCCCGGGTCTGCACAAGTGGGATTTGTGGTGGACAAATTGGCGCGGGGGCAGGTTTTCTCCGACTACTTCGGTTTCCCCTGCCTATCTTCATTCCACCAGTTGCTCCACAATCACCCTCACCTATCATCTGGGGCTGGTACAATTGGCCAGAAGTGGCCGCAGTACAAGGGACCACTAGCAATAATAAAAAAGGGAGCGGAGTCAGAAATATGGGTCTACTTGTAGCTCCTATGTTTCGCCTGAAACTAAAGGGTCCTGACAAAAAGAAAAAAAGAACCCCGAACAATAAGAAAAGTCCGGATTTCCAAAGTATCCTCCTTCCTTCAGATTTTCCGGCTACAGTTATATAGTATGCATTCATGCTACATGCCTTTCCAATATGATGTAATATTCTGTAAAGGAAACGAAGTGTGACGTGTTATCTTCCCCATCCTCTTGTTACTTCCTTGTCCGACACAAATCATTTGATCCCTAAAGAGCAAGGCAAAAGTTACACTTGTGTTAATTAATTACGCATTACGCCATAAAGACGTATGGGGGAGTGGGGTATAGCTCCACCATTCTTGACCTCGGTACTAGATGGAGGTGAGTAGTTAGCTTCACGCGCCGGCCACTTCGCCCCCGATACCCATTGGATAGGAGGCTGCTTGGGCTCGAGAACCGGTCTTGACCCTATGGAGTAGAGAGTAATCTACTGCTCTTGCTGGAAATCGAACCCCGGCATTGCAGTCCATAGCCCGTCGCTATATCTGTTGAGCTATCCTGGCTCATGGTCTTAAAAAAAAAAAAGAGCAAAAAGCAAATGTACCCCCGGAGTAACAAAAGAAAGAAGCGTTTCGGGTACACACGACGTACATTGCAATACGTTTAAACTTGAGCGAGCAGGAAATAGGGCGGACGTGGATAGACGCCGTTTGCTTAGTTCCGGGACGCTGCTTTAACGACGCTGTTTACAGTGCCTTAAGATGTCGCAAATCGTTCATAAAAACGACAGCTACAAGAACGAGTTTCTGAATGCATTGTAATCATTTTCATAATAGCGGGACAGCTCAGTTGATATAGCGACGGGGTGGACGGCCCGGGTTTAATTCCCGGCATTACAGTATTTTTCTGTTCCTCACAGCGTCCAGACCGACCCTGGGACCCACCCACTCTTCAATTCAAAGAGTACCGATTGTGATTTCCTTGGAGGTAAAGGGGGGGGGGAGTACGAAGCCGACCATTCACCTCCATTATTGTCGAGGTCTAGAATGATGGAGCTATGCCTCCACTCCCCGATATATCTTCACTGCATAATGCTTAATTAAGCACAGAGACTACTTTATATTCTTTTTTTTTACACGTGTTGGCTATTTTCTGGTCTCTTCTTGACCTGTAGAGCCATATGGCAGGACGGTAGCATAAAGGTGGAACGCACTTGGTCCACAATTAGCAGGTATTATTGCATTAATGACTGTATCGAAATTATTCCCGTTTATACAGATCTCTGCAACTTCTATTCAAGATATTTTCTCTCGAGTTAATACTCCCAAAGCGTTTTAGGTAATATTCGTCTTGAAACTAATTGCAGCAAATGAATCTCACGCGTCATCTGAATCAAAATCCGTCAGAGGGCGTAAACGTTATGCTTATGAAGACCAAGATATTCATTTACACAATTCTGTGAAGTGGCTCTTAGGGCAAGTGACTTGAAATAATCCAAATAAACAAAACTCAGGATGATTCAACAGAATCAGACCCACCGTATCGAGTTTGGTCAAAAATGAACAAGCAGTTTGAGGCCCACTACCAAACGAGGAGGTAATTTGTTATTATTTTTTTTTCGAAATATATTTAGAAAAAAAAGTCGCCAACTTTAAAACTATAACTTTCCGGCTGTGATATACTATACGCGTAGATAAAGGTAAAAATGTGAAATTATTCCTGTAATTAATTAATTAATTAATTAAGCATCCGCCAATGTTGACCTCGGCTCTAGATGAAGGTGAATGGTCAGCTTCACACCCCGCCTGCTTTACCCCAGGGGGGTATTCATTTGGTAGGAGGGTGGTTGGGCCTCAGAGCCGGTCTGGACGCTGTGAAGTTTCTCTTGCCCATGACAGGAATCAGATTCTGGCCATCCTGTCCGTAGCTGTACCGACTGAGCTATCCCGTATATTACAATGAAACCATAAGAAGAACTAGGGAGTCGGCAGCGAACCGCTGACCTCGTCTAATCGAAGAATTTCTTATAAAGGAGAATACCGTGGAATGTTAGCAGTGTTAATATTTCCTCTTCTTGTGTTTGGATGGACTGTTTGTGCAGAGCTGAGGGGAACATTTGAACTTCAGAGGAATGACACAACAGAAAGATCGAGAAAACTGTGCAATGAGGAACTTCGTATCTTGTATTTTAATTATATTTTAAGCTATTTTTTTTATTTATTTTTTTTTATTTATTTTTTATTTCTCTTCCAGCCCATTCGGGGCCCATGCATGTTATTCAGTTCCGTAAATTTTTCATAGACGGTGGGACTCCTTGGACGGGTGTTCAGCCCGTCACAAGACCTCTACATAAACACAGAATAAACGCATACACACACCAAACATCCATACCCTAAGTGGGATTCTAACCCACGATTCCAGCGTTCGAGCAAGCGAAAACAGTTCATGTCTTAGACCGCGCGGCTACCGCGACCGGCACATATTAAGCTATTACGATGTTAAAATTGGTAGGGAACCATGTAAAAAACATCCAAAATTATAATCGGAAAACCAAAGGCGAAGGCCACTTGAGAGATATAAGCGTAGATGAGAGGATAATTTTAAAATGGGTCTTAAAAAGTA